AAGTATAGGGTGTTTGAATTCCTTGCTGGCCTTAACCCTGAGTATGATATTGCACGACAACATCTTCTTTCCAGGGATAGTGTCACTCTCTCCCAAGCATATGCTTTTGTGTTAGGGGAGGAGTGCAGGAGGAATGTGATGATGAAAACTGAAATTTCTGATCAGTCTGCCATGGTAAGTGTTGTGAAACCTAAACAAAGTGGCGGTGAAATCAAGAAGGAAGACAAAAGAAACTTGGTTTGTGACTACTGTAAGAAGCCTAAACATACAAGAGATACTTGCTGGAAGCTTCACCCACATCTTGTGCCGACTAGATTGAAAAATAAGAAGGGAAATGCGCACATGGCAGTTACTGGTGACACTCCGGCCCCTCCTACTACAGCTTCTTTGGAGTCTGTTGCAGTTGCTGCAGTAAGGGCCGAACTTGAGAGGTATGGGCTACTTCTGAACCAGCGGGATACAGCTAGTTCCAATTCAGCCACAAGCGGACAACAAGGTACAGGTGGCACTGGTGGAGCTCACTCTACCCCCTTTGCTCATACAGGTAGTTCACACATCACTGCAAATTATGTTTCCACTTTAGGTAAGGAGGGACCTCCTTGGATTATAGATTTTGGAGCCTCAGAGCACATGACCCATAGCTCCACTATTTTTTCCTCTTACCAGCTCTGTTCTGGCAGAGATAGGGTCTCCACAGCTGATGGATCTCATGTTCCTATTGTTGGGAAGGGATCTATCAAGATTAATGATTCTATTTGTTTACCTCCATCCTTCATGTTCCCAGATTGAGCACTAATTTGTTATCTGTTAGTAGTTTGACTAAGAATCTGAACTGCTCAGTAATTTTTTCTCCTGGACGYTGTATTTTGCAGGATYTGGATTCAAAGAGGACGATTGGGAGTGGTCGTGAAGTGAGTGGAATCTACCTCCTGGATGTTCTTCCCCCTCACTAGAGTCATCATGTCAGCAGGGACAGTGAGTCAGGATCTGTGAGTCAGATTATGCTTTGGCATAATCGTTTGGGCCATTTATATTTTTCTTCTTTGAGTTCTTTGTTTCCAAAACTCTTTGAGTCTGTTAGTCTGTCAAGTCTGGAGTGTGAAGGTTGTCAACTTGGAAAGCATTGTAGACATTTTTTTAAACCTAGTAATAAAAGATGTTCTTCTTCTTTTGATGTTATTCATTCGGATGTGTGGGGCCCGTACCATGTTCCTTCTATGGGAGGCTATCGCTATTTTCTCCTATTTGTGGATGATTTCTCTCGATACTCTTGGTTTTCCCTGATGAAATCCCGCGATGAAGTACCATCCTTGGTGAGGCAATTTCATCAGATGGTACTAACACAGTTTGGAACAAGAATAAAGGTGTTTAGATCTGACAATGCCAGGAAATATTTTGAAAGACATCTTGCCTCGTATTTGTTAGAATATGGTGTTGTCCATCAGAGCAGCTGCTCCTACAATCCACAACAGAATGGTGTTGCAGAAAGGAAGAACAGACACATTGTTGAGACTATAAGAAGCATGATGATCACATCTACAGTTCCGGTTCGGTTTTGGGGCGACGCAGTTCTCACAGCAGTATATCTGATTAATAGGGTGCCTTCTCGTATACTTGGATTCAGCACTCCATTCAGCCTTCTTTTTCCTTAGGGAGAGATGTTTCATATTCCTCTCAGGGTTTTTGGGTGTGTCTGCTTTGCACACATCCTTGGTTCTCACCGCTCGAAGCTTGATCCCAAGGCAAAGAAGTGTGTCTTCCTTGGATTTGCAGAGAATCAAAAAGGGTACCGCTGCTATGATCCCGTCTCTAGAAACCGATATGTTACCATGGATGTCACCTTCTTTGAATCCACGTACTTCTTCTCACAGAATCCTTCTCAAGGGGAGTGTTTTGGGGAAGTGAGTCAACAATCTATCCCTCTCCCAGTTCCAGTCCCTGTGTCACCTCCTGTGCTTGACCACCACCCGGTGCCACCTACCTTGCCACCTCCTTTGCATTCTGTCTCTCAGCATTACTCACGACAGAGACTTCACAAGGCGGTTGATTCCACTACAGCAGAACTCACACCACTTCCTATCGATCCCTTGGGGACTCCAGATTCGACTGATATGGATTCAGGCATTCCTCTTGATCCCGCTACTATTTCAGTTCCCATTGATCCTACTAACTCTATTATAGATAACCTTGATCTTCCTATTGCTCTTAGAAAAGGGAAGAGAAAGTGYACTRCTCATTGTATYTCACARTACTTATCCTACAGTGGACTTTCTCCTTCCTACCGTGCTTTTCTCTCTTCTCTTGATTCAGTGTCTATACCCAAGGGTGTTAGTGAGGCTCTCTCCAAACCTGAGTGGAAGACTATGCAGGAAGAGATGGAAGCTTTGGTTAAGAATCAGACATGGGACATTGTGGACCTACCAGAAGGCAAGGAGATAGTTGGATGCAGATGGGTTTACACAGTAAAATGTAAGGCAAATGGAAGTATAGAGAGGTACAAGGCAAGACTTGTTGCAAAAGGGTACACACAGATGACCTCCATTCGGATACTCCTTTCCCTTGCTGCCTCATACTCTTGGCCCTTGTTTCAACTGGATGTGAAGAATGCTTTCCTAAATGGGGATCTGCAAGAAGAAGTGTATATGGATCTTTCTGCTGGTTTTTACAATGATACTGAAAAGGGAAAGGTATGCAGGCTTAAGAAGTCACT